GGGGGGGGGGGGGAATACCCGATGTCCATCAACTGGTGAATGGATAAATAATGTGGTATTTCCATATAATGGAATACTATTTGGCAATAAAAAGGAATGATGCACCAATGCTACGACATGGATGAGCCTTGACAACACTGCAGTGAAAGCAGCAGACAGGCCACACACTGTATGAAGCCATTTACATGGACTGTCCAGCATGGGCAAGTCCATAGACAGGTAGAGTCGTGGTTGCCAGGGGCTGGGAGCACACACTTGGCAAGGGATAAGTGACTGCTAATGGGAGCAAGTTTCTTTTTAAGGTGATAAACACGTTTTAGAATTCGGTGTGATGGTTGCACAACTCTGAATAAACTAGAAACCACCAGCATGAGCACTTCAAGGGGTGAACTATCTCAGCAAAGTTCTTAAAAAACCCAAAATAGTGGGCGGTCCTTTTCTAAGCTCCAGGCTGCTGTCTAGGCCGAGCAGGGAAGTACCCTTTGCTCCATCCCCAGCAGTCTTTGGACACCAAAGCCTGGGCCTGGAATGCAGCTCATTTATTCTCAGATTGAGCAGGAAGCCTGTCTTATCTTTTCCTCTAACACACATCCCAAAGTGCTGACTCGGTCCTCCTGTAGTTTTGATTTCTGCGTCTACCGGGTCTCCTGAGAAAAGGTGGAGAGGTGGGTCCCACGTCAAACACCAACCCTCATTAGATCGATGAGCTGCTTTCCGAGGCCGTGGGACGCCAGGAATCAGGGCTCAGCATTCAGCAGATTGGGCGGATCCCAAACCTGTCCATTTGGGAAAGGAAACTAAAATCATTTGTTGGGAGGCTACTAAGTGCTGGGCCCAACACCAGGTTCCTATTTAACCTTCTGCTACTCTGAAGGTGGCTCTCACTTCCATTTGCCAGAGGGGACGTGCAGTAAGACCGCGCCACCTGCCCAGCAGCAGGGGGCAGAGCCCCTGGTCTGCCCCGAGCACCAAGCATTCGTTCTCCAAGCGGTCTGGGTTTCTCTGGGATTTAGTTTTCTCAAGGGCAGAGGGGCTCCCACACCTACCAGGCAGGTCACGGAGATATCACAGGGAGGTGGGCTAGATGTACTTTCACCTACCCCAGGCCCACAGCAATGGCCTCACTTGGAGCCCTCTGCTCTCTAGGCCTGGGTGCCACTGCTCGGCCCACAGGGGCTCTGCCCTGGCCCTGCTCCTCTGAGAGCCCACCCCCCTTCCCCTGTTGCTATGGTTTGGAGACCCTGATCATCTCTACATTAAACACCCAAGGGTGGACCATGCAGAGGCGCGGTGCTGGGGCTGAGAGGGCCTGAGGTGTCTGAGGGCCCACGCGGGCTGGGGTCCTGGGCCCCTGCGAAGGGCAGACTAGGCGCGGGGTGGATTCCTGCTCCAAGGGCAGGTTCCTCGCCTCTGAACGCCTGGGAAAGGGGTGGGGTGGTAGGAACAGTTGAGGGACAGCAGGCAGTTTTCTCGTCAAGCGGCCGAGCGTCCTTTCCTCTCATGTTCACCCATGGGGACCAGGGACAGGGAGTAGGGGACTGGGGAGCTGTCACAAGGGCTGGCTTCTCCTCCCCCCAAATAGATGACGACAAAACCACGAACACGTTTTCAAATCACATATGGCTTCTTTGACCCCATCAAATAACTTTATTCACACAAACGTCCCTTAATTTACAAAGCCTCAGTCATTCATACACATTAGGGGGCTCCACAGTGTTCAAGGAACTTAAATAGAATGTATCATACCAACCCAAGTAAACCAAATACAAAAAATACTCATATAAAGTTGTTCACACGTAGGTCCTAGATTACCAGCTTCTGTGCAAAAAAAGAAAATAAAGGAAAATAGGTTTATTAACTAGTATTTGAAATGAACTTTGAGCCTGGGTTAAAACTTTCCTCACTGAAATGGCCCCACACAACTGTTAAATCATTGGAACATACTCCCCTGCTCTGATGGAAAGAGGCCCCTGGGCACAAATGATGTCTTTAAAACATCCCTAAATAAACTCCTTTCCCCTGTAACCTTAGGGGCGTTCGGGCAGCTGATGACATTGGGTTCATCTCCTGATGATGGCTGCGGATGCCTACTTTAGTCAGCCCTCCGGTAACATCTCCTGGTTCCCCCCTTGAGGGCACCTCTCCAGGCTCAAGTGGACAGGATTAGAGATGGGCCTGTGTTGTCCTGAAGGCTGTGCTTCAGCCCAGTGTGGGAGGATGGTCGAGGCAGTGCCTCTGGGCCTCAACCCCAAGCCCTGCCACCTGAAGAACTTAATAGTTCAAGCTTGGCTGTTGTCAGGTCGCCAGTTCCTAGAAGACTCCAGCAGCTGTCTGTCTGGGGGCCAGACAGACCTAGGAAGGGGAAAGGAGTCATGGAGGGCAATAGTCCAAGAGCCCCATTAGAGTCAGAGGCACCAGTGCCCCAGATGTGTGTGTGGAGGGGCCACCAGCAGGATCAAGGGTGGGAGGTGCACTTGGAAGAAGGGGCTGGAAGTCCAGGTGACATGGAGCATGGTGAGGGCAGAGTTAGGATCCCCTTCTTAGGGGGTGAAAGCCTGACTCCTGCTTCTCCAAGCTTCCAAAAGATACCCCAAAGCTGAAACCCACAAGTCCATCCGTCTTCTAAGGAGGTAAACAGCCAACAGCATAAAGAGGAGAATCCCTCAATGTCAAATCTTTTCCTTTTCTTACAAAAAGACTCAAGCAAAAAAAAAAAAACCTTATTGCTCCAAACACTGGTTCTCTAGGAGGCAACTGATATGTTAAAGAGCCAAGAATGGGGGGGGAGGGGGAGAAGGAATGCGAGGTGGGAAATGTCCAGGGGCCAGGTGGCTGTGAGGAAGGTGGCGAGTGGTCTTAGCACCGCAGGGTTGAGGGCAGAGGGAGTGCGCCTGCCCCTGGCACCTCTGCCTTTGTGTTCACTCTGGGGCCACCGCTGGCAGTGCCACAAAGGCCAGGCCCTGTCCCGAGTCACTGTCCACCTAGTCGGGCACCATTCTCCTCTGGCTGTAAACAGGGTATTTCTCAAGTAAACATATACACTCCCTCAGAAAGGCAGCCATGAGGGGCAACCCACATCTGGGAGGGAGGAGAGTTCCCATCCTCCTGTCCCAGTGCCTCTGGGATGAGATGAGGCTGAGGCCTGCGACCCTAGTCCCCAGTGCCCAGAAGGGGGTCAGATGGAGCCAGTCTTGAACAGGCCGTGGCAGCCTCCTGGCTAGAGGTAAGAGGCAGGGACGTGCTGGGTGTAAGGGGCAGCGTGCACCTGCCTGAAGCAATCTTCCCATCCTTCGCTAAAGCTGCTAGAGCGCACGTGGTGGGGAGGGGAGATGTGTACCTGGCTGCAGCCCTCAGGTAAGGATGGGGGAGGGGGTAACCCTCCCTGTGTGGCTACCTGTGAATGGGAGTGAGAGCTTGAGACAGATGGACACAAACAAGGAGGAAGGAGAAACATACGCTAGGGGAGCCGGGGGTCTGGTCAGGGGAAGGCAATGGAATAAGGCACTATGATCTGTCTTGCTGATTCCTCTCGCTTAGGGGAAACCAAGCTCAGACCCACAGGGCTGAGCCCAAGCCCTCCCTCCAATAGGCTCTCCCTGTCACAGATTGAAGAAGAGAATTAACGGACTGCTATTTTAAGGTTTGGAAACTTCCAGAACTTGAACAAGCTTAACAAACTTGATGGCGCTGAGATGATGCACCGAAGAGCTACTGCCAGGCCTGAGACCAGGTGGAGAGGGTGAAAAGGCAGGAAGTGGCAAGGAAGCCGACCATGGCGGAACAGGTGGCAAGTGGCTGAGAAAGAGGACAGGAGCCACCTGGGCCTCTGCCCAGGTTAGTCTACGGCCAGGGCAGAGGCAGCACTTCCTTAGGAGGGACTCCTTCCTAGCTGCCTGGGGGCCTCAGGTGGACAAAGTGGAGCGAGCGGGGGAGGGAGGAGAGGGAGAGGCAGGCACTTGGGTTAAGGAGGCGGCCCTCAGAGCTAGGGAAGGAGGTCCCACCACCAAGCCAGGAGGGCTGGGAGTCCTACAAGGGAAGGGTGCATGGAAGCTGGCTACCCAGGTGCCCACCTCACCCACAAGGTATGGACATCCTGTCGCCTACAGGGGACACTCTGGCACCAGGAAAAATAACAGGGGGAGCACTGCAGTTCCCAGACCTTACTCAGAGCTCAGAGACCGGGGAGGGCAGAAGAAAAAGAGAAGCGAAAGGTAAAAAACTTGTTAGGCCCAAGCCCTCACTAGGGACTTCAGGGCATGAGCCGCACAGGGAGAGTTGGGGGTGCTGAGTTTGGGGACTGTTTTTCCCATATGCTCATGTACAGAGACAGCTGGTCCAAGGGAAGGCAGGGTGGTGGGGCAGAGGAGTGTGCACTGCAATTAGGGGATGCTGCACTCCCACCTCCCAGCTGCAGCTCAGAGCACACACAGGAGGTCACCCAAGAAATCAGAAGAAGAGACAAGAGACAGGCGATCACAAAGGATTTCAGCCAAGGAATGGAAGAGCCTGGTTCCCACCTGCAGTCCCATCGGATCCCACTAGCCACAGCCAACTGCCTGCCCAGGAGGAAGAAGCCTTGGGATCTGAGGGGCTTGAGAAAAGGCTGAGAGAATGTGAGCAAACACACTGTCAAGTTTCAGCTGGGGCTGTGCTAGCCTCTCCCAGACTCCCAGAGCCCAGACTGCTGCTGCAGGGAAAGCGCCCCTTGGTCACACAGCACTTAAATGCCCTCCAGCTGTCCCCCGTATTGATCCTATGCTGCTGTAGAGAAAACAAAACCCAAAAATGAACACAAAAGAATTCCTTCTCCTCCCCAAAGACCCTTTCCTGCTTGGTTGTCACAGGATGAAAAGCCTCTGGAGTAGCTAAAGCAGCATCCAGGTGACACAAGAGGGACAGCACAGGAGGGGTTTCCCTGTCCTTGCATGGGGGCGGGGGGGGGAATGCCAGGTTCAGAAGCCTGTGAAAAGGGGGCTCCAAGAGAGTTGTTGGAGTGCAGATCAGCTACACTGACAGACACTGCTGGTGGGGTCCACGGCTGGGGAAGCTCTAAGGTGGCAAACCCACAACCAGGCACCAAAGGCTGCGGGGGCCACCTCCCGACTCTCGGCAGCTCCATCCTTTCCGTCAGACACATTTCCACGAAAGTGGGCACCTAACAGCACATCCCTGGGGTGAGGGAGATGGTGCTTGACACTGTTACCATAAGTGGTACCAGGGGACCCGGTGCATAGGGCACACCCTTCACTGCAGTGACAGCCAGTCCAGGGCACCCTGTTCTTATGGCAATGCTCACAACTGGATTGCAGGGATTCAGGCAGTCTCTGTGACCACATGGGAAGAGATTTGGCACGACAGTTTTTTCCTGGGGATCGTCTTCTGGGAAGATCACTAACAGAAACGTAGGCCTGCAGAGTTGGGGTGAGATGACCACTCAAACTGCCAGGAAGTGGGAGATGGTCACTTCTGTCCCGTTACCCACCACCACCCCCCTCAGAGATCCCGGTTATAAAGGGCAGTAGAGGGAATGACTCCCACTGCGGTTAGTCCTGTGTGGCCTGGGGCTTCCACAGCTTAGAGAGAACACACCCACAGTTTAGAGCTTCTTTCTTGAGTTCTCCTGGGCAAAAGCTGGTCTTCTTCCAGGTGGATCTTTATTCAAGGCAAAGGGCTGGCAAGGAGCAGCTCCCGTGTCTGGCAGTTCCTGCACCTGGTAGAGAGGTGGCCAGAGGCCTCCTGTCTCCGTGCCCCGTTCCAGGAGAAATGCCCACAATCTCTATGGACAGGCAGGCCCTCTCTGGGAGAAGTGAGGTGTTAAGAGGCAGAACTGAGAAACAGGTAAAAGAAAGACAGGGAAAATAAAGGACAAAAATGAAATAGCTCCCTAACCCCTTATAAAAATGAAAAAGGAAATTTATACATATATTTGTCCATATTAAATTTCTTTAAAGAAACTGGTGCCTGTCCACAGCAGAGCTCCTGCTCTTTTGACATCTTAAATTGTTTAAATAAAAAAGAAAAAGAAAAAAGAGAAAGACAAAAAATAAAATAAAAAAAAATTAAGCGAAACTGAAGAAGGGGGAAAACCCAAACAAAGCTTCACATTGCTGGCGCTCCAGCTGCTGGGAGATCGCCAGCCGGCCGAGCCACCTGTACCCTCTGCCGTCCTCTGTGAGACTTGATGAGACTGTGGGTCCCGAGGATCAACCTGGAAGACAGAAGGCAGGGCACAAGTGAACACTGGTCAGTGGGCTCGGGGTGCCTCCAAGCTCCAGATCCCTCCCCCTCAGTGCCAGCATCTAACCCGATGAATTCAGAAGCTGTGATGTGCTGGGGTCCAGGAGAGAAGGTCTCTAAATACTTCATCTGAAATAGATTTAGCTTCACTATTACCACCCTGCCACAGACACACATTCTTACTATTCAGATAACAAAACTGAGGGGCAGGTTAAGTGACATGCCCAAGGCCACATGGACTGAGGGGCAGACCCTGGCTGGGAACCTGGGCACACAAATCCCATCAGGAATCCTGTGCCTCTCTAATGGCTTCCTTCACTGTTGGAAAAATTGCCACTGGCCCGGCAGGCATTGCTCAGCAGCTGAGCATTGACCTAGGATCCAGGAGATTGCGGTTTGATTCCCGGTCAGGGCACATGTCCAGGTTGCGGGCTCGATCCCCAGTCAGGGGCGTGCAGGAGGCAGCCGATCAAGGACTCTCTCATCATTGATGTTTCTGTCTCACTCCCTCTCCCTTCCTCTCTCTGAAATCAATAAAGATACAAAAATAAAATGCCACCAGACCCTAGCAACCTGTCCCCGCAGGTCTTGGCAGTTCTGGTTCCCCCTCATACTTCCTTCCCCATCCTCTCTAATCATGCTGCCCTGAAGCTTCAAGGCAACTCTCTTGAGTTTACTTATCCCATTTTAGGAAAAAAGAAAAGTGAGGTCCAGGCCTCTGACAACTGATACTACTAGGTAGCCAAGGTTCTTCCATCTTAGGAGAGGCCAGAATCCCACAGCCAGGGCAGTGTGGGGCCGAGCCATGTGCTGGGTCCTTCGCTGCAGGGGTCAGGGACGAAGTTCTGGAGCCAGAACCTGTGGCTGAGTCAACAGGCTCTGGCACTTGATTGTGGGCAAATTTAAGAACTCTGTTCCTTGGTCTCATCACCTGTACCTAAATCACAGGTTACTATGAGGACAGTGCCTAGCTCTAATATTATTAGCTATTATTTGAGAATCAATCACCTTGGTGCTAGATCTCAGGAACAAGACAAGCTATCTGCCCTTCGGGGACCTGTTCTAGTGGAGGCCTAGAATACAAGCACCTACAGACAGAGGTCAGCCTTGGGCCAGCTCTAACCCACCACTCCAGCTCTCCCAGCTCAGCCTGACCGGGGCTAAGTGCAGCCCCACCCTAGGCAGGGTGGCATCCAGGGCAGCAACCCTTCATCTAAGACTTTCAAAGTGCCCGCGCTCACCCTGAACCACTGAAGCAGACAGGTCTTTCACTGTGTGCTTGAAATCCCCCCGTTTGCTTCAATACTCTAAGCTCTTTGCAGCGTGAGAAGTGTGCCCTCCCAGCCCAGGCCTTCCCACCATTACTTGCCACCTGTGCAGTCTGACAACACTGGCCGGTCGTCCTCAGGTCCTGGGGAGATGCCTGGCAGTCCTCACGAGAGGCAGTGGAGTACAGTGATATGGAACAGTTCACTTCCTGTCAGCCTCAGTTTCCTCCTCTGAGAAATGGGGAGGGCTCTATTTTGAGGTCTGAGGGGAATAACTAAAAAGTACTGGCCAACAGCAGGAACTGACATACTCGATGAGCCCACCCTCTCCCAGCCATCTGTCCCCACCAGAAATGATGAATGTTTGAGATTTAAACACCCGTGGTCCTCAGCCATTTAACCACCAGCCCTGCTTGTAGCTGGGCGAGGGTGCCACAAAAAGGACACATGCCCATGGGAGGAGGGGAAGCAAGCCTTTTGGAGAGCAACCTGGCAATGTGTTTCTGAGCTTTCGACGTGTTTAGGCCTGTAGTTCCACTGCTGGAAATGTATCTTACTGATAATCCTCAACATGAGAAGGACTTTATGAATAAAGATGTCCACTGAAGTATATTTAAATTACCAGGCAACAATCCACAAAATAAGAGCCTTAAGCAAATGATCCACCCACCAATGATATTTACAGAGGAAATGAGGAGGCTGCGCAGCATTTTGAACATTATGGCAGAACATTCCCTGGGTTAGGCGGGGAAAGTAGGCTACACGGTTCTGCGGCTTGAGTATGACCACACAAAACCTCCGAGTACAGGACAACTGGCAAAAAATACACCACAATGTTGTACTTGTCATGAGTGTGTGTAAGTGTGTCTGTCTTCTCCCCTCACTTTTCCTCTGTATTTTTAGCATTGAGTACACAGCACACTCCATTCTGTAATGGAAAAGAGTGTACTCTAATCAACAAGAAAAGCTGGCAGCTCTGACACACAGGTCCACGGAGCAGTGAGCAGTCCAAGAAACCAGACCCAGGGCTTTTCTGGACTCTTCCACATACAGTGGACGTGGGGAATTTCCCACACCTCGAACCTCTGAGGTGAGACGGTGAGTCCCTCCCCTGCTGCACAGGTGAGGTGACCCAGCACCCGTGTGTGGGGTAAAGTAGGGATGGATGATAACTGCACTGGAAAGCTCTTGGACCTGAAAGAAAATACTGGGTTTCTCAGGCCCAACCTTTTCCTCTGCTGCTTGTTTCCCTGCCTGTCAAGTCCTTTCAACAGAAATCCAATGGTGGGCCCTGCATCTCAGTTTTTGATTTGTAAAAATAAAACCATCATATGCATGGCTTATGATGATCCAGCAGCCACCACATACCCAGCTTTGGTCAGCATGCCCACTGCCTTAAGCAGAGCCATCAGGAGGCAGGAGAAAGGGCGAGCTTGGGGAGGACCTCACCATGCAAGACACTCTACGTCCTCAGGAAACAGGACAAGAAAAGCCTGCCCGGGAAACTGGCCGGTCATATGTGATCTGCTAAGATGATCTCTGGGACCAGTTCTGACCTTTCAACACGGCTTTCCTCCCTGCCCTGGTAGGACCCGAGCTAAGACAACTTCCTCATAAGGAAGATCATCAGCAGGAAGGTGGCCCACAGAAGCTGGAAAGCAGTGGTCAAGGAGGCAGAGGTACAGGAGCCGGAGTCCCTTTCCACATAACGAGCTGGGGGAACGGAGTGTGACCGCAGGAGGTCAAACCAATAGCAAGGGGCTCTGCAAGAGCTCCCGAGACACCAGCCTGTAATGACTGCTGAAATCACTGGGTCCTGTGCCAGGAATTGAGGCTGACATTTCCCACAGGCTCCTCCACCCCCCTCCAGCTTTGGCACTGGCTCCAGCGCTCATGGTAGGTCTGTTGGCTTCACCCTGTGGGCAGGGACAGGAAAATGAGAGGGTCCTCTCTTCTGTGGCGAGGACCTGGACTTTGAGTCTCTCTCGCATTTCCTGCTAGAGAAGGTACAGCTTTCCAGGGAGCAAATGGCAGAAACCTCACTGGAAAACAGTGGGGGCGGCCTTTTACGGCCACGAACAGGAAGGCTCGGGCTGAAGTGCCAGCCACAGTTCTGGGTTGCAGCAGCAGCAGACCCTCCCAGGCACTTAATGGAACAGTCAACGTGTAGGCCCGAGCCCTGGTGGGTCCTGGCATTTCATCCCAGAGGCCATGCCTCAGCTCCTGCCTACCCAGGCTGGGCTTCCCTTGTCCCTTTCATGGAACCCCTATCTCTGACCAGAGCCCTCCTGAGGGCAAAGCCACACCCACTGAGCAAAATGGTGGTGTGACAAACCTATAGATGACACCTCTAGCACACTCCATCTTTCACACTCCCAATCACTGCATCTTGTGAGGATGGGTTTGCCCATTTTAAGAAGGGAGTGGGCCCAGAGAGTTGGAGCAAGTTGGCTCACATCACAGAGCTGCTGAGCAGGAGAACCAGCACTCAGCCAAAACTTTTGCAGACCCTTCACTGCTATCTTTCCCTAAGACAGTCTTCACTTGATGCTTCCAAAGCCAGCTCAGCCAGTGGTCCTAACAGCCTGCAATTCGAGATCGTCTCCAGGGGGAAAGGTGTCAGTGATCGAGCAGGTGTGTTGGCAATTCTGCCCTTATTTCAGCTCTTGGAACAAGTTCCCTCAGCACACCCAACCTCCTTATTTCTGTTATTATCACAGCAATCACTTGTCAAGCATTTCATATGTGCCAGGCATGTTCTGTGGATAGAACACTGTGTGTGACAACTCAGTCAGGCAACTGTCAACCCTCCTATGCTGCTTTCTACTCACTGTGTCCCAAAATGGACCAAGTGTGTTATACCTACTGCCTCACTCCACTCAATAGCCCTGAGGTCATTCCAGGTTTAGAGATGAGGAAAGGGAAGCTCAGAGAGATCTGCTCCTGCTGTTAGCATATAACTTTGTAATGTAAAATCCACTCCCTACAGAGACTAGAGAGCTTAGTGGAGTTTCAAACCCATTTAAGCCTTTCATTTATAAACATATTCACACAGAAAGAGGCTCCTGGAAGGCTTGGCTTAGGTAGTTCTGGACAAGTCTGGTGTCTAGAGCACAAACGGGGGCATGTGGTGCCAACCAGGCAGTGAGGAGCGTTCCAGCAAGTGCCTCTGCCAGCCAGGCACTTGTCTGGTATGTGCGAGGACACTGGGGAACCGAACTGTTCCCAAGGCCACCAGTAGTGTGGAGGACAGAAGCTGGGGAGAGCAAGCGATGATGGGGATGGGAACTGAATGGGCTCACACACCGTAAAGAAAGCCATCTGGCTGGTGTGCTCACAGACCACAGCACAATTTGAGTAGTATCTCAAATAGCGGTACTAATGGGTGGGTGGACAAGAACTCACCCTGACCTAAATTCTCCCTGCACTCCTGTGTGGTGATGTTCTCCCTGTAGCTAATGACATATTTGATCTGCAAGATTAATATGTAATGCCTCTTGTCCAAAGGACCATGGCAGGAATCCTCCCATTTTACAGATGAGCAAACAGAGGCTCGTGTTAATTTTCAGCATATCATGCTGTGGAGGCAGAGAGGCAAGGTAATCTCCAGGTCACAGAGGGCAGGCCTCTCCTTCCAAATAGGATTAGCTTCAAAATGAGTCATTCTTCACTTGTTTAATACACCAAACAAAGCAGCTGGCTT